GAATTCCAAAGAAGGCACTCTTGAAAATTATCCATTAACTAGGGGAATCAGATTTGATATTTCTTGCATGTATTTGATAATCATTGATGTAAGAAAAATGGGGTAACTTGTTTAAGTGAATTTTAAGTACTAAAATGCATCAAAATGCAGGATTTTGGGTGCCGGACCCTCCCCCCCCTTACTTGGCTTTGATTATTTTCAGGATTTTTAGGAAAGGGACACTTTCATCTCTGAACATTAGTTCTATCGAGTTATTAGTTATATATCGTATTAAAAACTTTACCTACATACGTTTACTACCTTCTATGATTTCTACACTAGCTGATTAAGAGAGAGAGATTATACTTACAGTAGAGTTGGATTGTTAGAAGTCTTAACCACGTTAGTCATCTTCATTGTCGTCTCTTCAGCCTGAATACTCAGAATACTTCTTCTCAGTCCCAGAGAAGTTTTCTTCAGTCCGGGAGAACTTTTCAGTCTCAAAACTTTTCTTTCGTCCTGGAGAACTTAACTTTTCAGCCTCTGACGTGGGCTTTTAAACTATCTTTTCTCTGTATTATTTCTACCTACTAAATGGGACACAGTATCACCCACAAGTAGTCCTATGTTCCTATTGGATACTTTAGGGTAATTCCCGGGCTAAACCAGAACCATAACCAAAACTCTCAAGTAATTGGTCATAGATAAGTGGTGTTAGCTGGCAGCCTATTCACTTGTACTGCTATACCCATATGCTGTAACTAATACCACCTCAAAGTGCCGATATGACTCACCAAACCTAAACTTTTCTGTAGCTCTCCTAGTTCTAAGAGGGCGAGGTCAACAATTCTTCAAATTGTCATATGTACTGGTGTCTTCATCCTGTTTCTAGGCAGCATTTCTTACTAACTGTGCTGCTGACCTTGGTGACTGGTTTTCAAGCTCGCTTCTCAAGCTTATTTTTTGTAATACACGTGTCTTGTTTCTAGGCGATACTCCTTACATAACTAAGTTCCTGTTTATCAATTCTCAAGGCCTATTTCGTAACACAGGTATTCTCTTGTCGCCTCTTTTCTTTTTATATATATCCTTGCCTACTTGCTTATACTAAAAACCCTTAAGTTTTTATTATATGTATTCTCAACTACTAAAACTCTGAAGCAATTTATAAAATTTCCTCAAATTTTCAAGTTGCTTCATTTGTTGTACATTGTTAGGGTAAATTACATGTGATTTCAAAAAAAAGTGTAAAGCATAATTACAAATACATCTTAGAAAGAAAGAAGGATATGATGATGTTAGTCACATCTATGTGCTGATGACTACTAAATTATGTTGTGTGTCTTGCATGTTTAGCTTTCACAAATTGAATTATATATCATTTGTAAACTTGTTTTTTAACTGAATGTATACGTTAACTCTTTTGCAACATGCTCGGTATAATATACAGGAATTCGTATACACGTTTTCACATGTTAATTATTTATACTATAACTTTTAATTCAGTATGTACATCTTCACAAAATTTGGTATACCTTTAGTAAACATTGTGTTTTGTACATCAAAAAATATTTTTTTTTAATGAGGTATTTTTACTAAAGATTTGTTTGTGAATATATCAAGTTTGTTACTAGTCCGAGTGGAAGTGATTTTCATGTTATGATTAAAAATAAATTTTAATTTAAATTATTATTTTCTCCTCCAAGATCTTTACAAACAACTGTCAGAATCACTTAAAGCACAACTTGTCCTTTCTATTGGTTATAAACAGATCCTTAAGAAAAGTAGATGGAACTAAACAAGAGGTTTGGAAAGAATGGAGGAGGAGGTGCCACTCTAGTTGATTTGCTAGATATTGATTTCTCAGCAAATCAAAGTGGTGGGAGGATCTAAGTTTATATTCTAGCTTGTCAGTATCAAAAATTAATGTTTCTAATTTGTTAAACACTTGTAGACATATAAAGTAGGCGTAAAAAATATAAACTGAGCAACAAGACACGAGGAGG